TGTGATTTTCCATAGTTACGTTAATTTACCAGAGGGTATTCGGATGATGACTCAACTCAAAGACTTCCAAGCACAACTAGAGTTGCATGACAGTTAACAGAGAAGCGTTTAGACAACTAGGATTCTATGGATTCCAAAGTTTCAGGTCCCGAACTGACAAAATGGTCTTAGACAAACTAGGTGACCTTAGGCAAAATTCAACCGCTCAAAGTGCCATAGAATGTCATAGAATGTCAGAACTAGATATAACCCGCCCTTATCGACAAACTTTAAGGACCAGATCAGTCCAATAAGTAGGGAAAGCACTTTATTTTTCAGCGGGCATAGACCTCTCTGGTGCACATATTTCAGCAACAATCAGTTGATGGATGACTAGAAAGGATAAGTCAGAACTAGAAGTCCACACAGCAATAGATTTGGGGCTGCAGTTCCAGTTATAAGCAGTTATTTAAGGTAAGCGAGTTGTGGGGGTGATTTTTCTGGATATCACCATGGGAATAACCAGCAGGGGTTATTGGACTGATCTATCTCCATCCTTATGGACTGTACCATTGTCTAAACATCAGAGCTCATCTCCATTGTAGTCACCATGGTGGTGCTCCAACACCGGTGGGTGGCTCATAGCAACCCTGATGATAGTGAACTTAAGTGAACTTATCGTAATGACTCACCATGCCGCTGGTGCCAAAGGGCATTCCACGTGCTGTGGTCGCTCCCAGACATCGAAATTCGTCCAGCCAACCACCTGGGACAGCAATGAAATCTCTGGGTTTGAGGGAAAATTCGAGGAAACCCAGGGTTTTTACCAGCATGTTTTTAGTGGTTCCTGTAGAAACCATGTTTTTTTTAGCCAGCATTTTGAGGGATGTCCCAAAAGCATTGAATTTCATCATCCAAGTGAGTGAACCAATCCTTTGTCGGAACGGCAAACTGATGTTCATTTTGGTATGTGGGTTGATGCAAAGCCATTTGAAAACAAAATTGACCGACTGCAAAGACTGTGCGTCTATTTGGCGGCAAATTGTTTGGTAAGAATTCACTCAGGGGTAGGGGTTTAACCCCCTGAAAATACCAGCATTTGCCAGATGATCCTCCTAAATGTTGGGATGAAAATGAAGGAGAGTTGCAACCATTTGGGGACCATAGATGTTACTACTTTCCTGTATCTTTGTGGGGGTTTGCTATGGCGGACACAGCCTTGGTTTGTGACAACACCTTCCTAGGTGGTGCTCATCATGCCATGTTTCATGCCCCTTCCCCTAACCTGTTGCCGGAAGAACTTGCTAGATACCAGGGCCAACATGGGCCCTTGGTAAGAGGTGAAGTGAAGCCAACTTCAGCTTAGTCCAAATCAGTCCATCAGCAGAAGCACCTGACTACTGCTCGCACGATCTCGATCCTCCTCACAACCAAGGATGGCTACCCCATTGCCATGAATGGGTGGCACTCAAATCATCCCCCAAATGGTCGGTTTATGGCATGGGGTTTACCACAAGTATATAATCCCGTTCCCCCTCGCATATATTTGCCTAAAAACTGAAAACTGGTACTGAATCTGTCCATGGGTTATGGAAGAAGGGGGAAGGGATCACTTGCTGATTGCAGGGGATAGCGTATGATTCTCAACCCGCTGCAAAATGGCCAATGTCCATAACTAGTCACACATGAAACACCTGTCAAGACACCCCAAAAAGGAATAAACTGAGTGTACCACCTTTAAAAGATTTACCACCTTTTTTTAATGTATCCCCCACCCACCCACCCACCAACCCCACCCTATCAGATCCACCATCATCCCGTCCTGTCGCGCGAGATCGGTGAAGCTGATCGCCGCAGAACTCCGCGAGGTTAGAGCCCTTTTCCAGGAGGATTTCCTCCACGCTTCGTCACTGCCACGGTTCGGTTGGATTGATCTAAAGGTAGAGATCTAGTCATTCTAACCCCGATTGACTTGAAATCTTTTTGGGGGATAGGAAACCCATGATTTTTTACCGCAACCTTGAAACCAAACTTGAACCAATAACTGGAAGGGGGAGGTTGACCTACCAAAAACTCCAAAAAAAACATTATAGAACTTGTGGGGGGGACCAGGCGAAGGCGCGAAAAAATTCTTTGCATCCACAACCAATAGGATCTGAAGCAACAACATAAATCCCAAGGGATTTTTTGCCGCCTGGCAGACCATAGCACGGATGGTCAGTCGCTGAGAACGAAGCATCTAGATCATATAAATGCGAGAACCCCACAGGTCCGGAACTGATCATGCTAGACTGACAACTACCATCTGGTTGTTTAACATAGCCATGGAAAATCACCATTTTAATAGGTGAACCATCTATAAATGGGCCATTTCCCATGGCTATGTTAAATAGCCAGAGGGTATATAATTCTGAGATGAGCATGGAAGTAGTGACTTTAACTAGGCTGAATTTCGACTGCAGAAGGGATGCCGATGGGAGAAAGGTCGGAACCATTACATGTCCCCAGGTTAAAACAGACCAGCCCAGTGGTGATATTTCGTCAGGTAATGCTTCGAGGCCCTCCGGTAGCACAAAGGAAATCCCCCATAACCAATCATATTCAAATTTTATCTAGGTCATTTCTATAGGTGATACTCCCATTTGAAGTACCCTCCGGTAATTTAACATAGCGAACTGGAAAATCACCATGCTATCAATGGGTAAATCAACTATTTCTATGGGCCATTTTCTATGTCGCAAACTGCAAAGGTTTACCAAAGGGTAGTAATCATAGTTTTATGACCCATTTTCCATAGTTATGTTAGTTTACCAGAGGGTAAACCTCCATTTTCCATCATTTTCCTATGGTTTTCCTATGGTTTTCCTATGGTTTTCCTATGAATCCCTAACCCTGGAGATGCTCGCTATGTTTGATCACCACCCGCGCTGTAAAATTCATCGCCCAGCTGCCGTTTCTCTTGATTTGATCTGGCAGATCTGTTGTGAATCATCAGACCGATCACCATATTTTTCGGCAGCGGCACGACCCGGCCTGGCAGTTTAACCAAAAAAAAGAGAGGGAAATGATGTGGAAATGATGTGGAGATGATGTGGAAATGCTAATTATATATATAGATAGATATGATTGACAATGTAAATTACTGGAACTAAATGGGGTTGGTTCATGGTGGCTAATCGGATTGAATGGGATATGGCACATGTAAGATGCATCAAAAGATATGGAAAAAATGTCGCATCTCTTGTCTTAAACCATCGGCAAATGGGAGCCAAGCACGAAGACTCCAACATTCCGCCATGGTCGCTGACATCCCATGTCGCTTCTTCGTCTTTAAAATATGGCAACCCAAAAAAAGATCAGAAAAGTAAAAATCCGACTAAGATTAATGGGGCAAACTACCATCTGCTTATTTAACATAGCCATGGAAAATCACCATTTGTAATAGGTAAACCATCTATAAATGGGTCATTTTCCATGGCTATGTTAAATAACCAGAGGGTACATCAGCCATGTGTTGCTCCCAATTTGAATCGAGCCTCGGCTCAACCGCAGGCCGTTCTGAAAAAGCGGTCGCACCTGCCTTCGGCAGGTTCCGCGCCCCTCAAAAACGCGCTCCCAGACGGCTTTGCCGTCGGACCACCATTGAGACGAGAAGGGACGTGTTTCTTACCCAAGACTCTACTTCCAACACAAAACTTAAGAATTTCTTAAAGGTTCACTCAACACAGAGGAAAAATTGAATATACAATCATGACCATCATGATCACTAATCGCTAATACAACTGTATAGAGATCTGCACAACCCACATCTCTTTGCGGCATACCCTTGCGTCCCCCAATCCTTCACGTCCCAAAGGCAGAAAGGACGTTGTCGACACTGTCAACCACTGTCAACACTATTCAGTGTCTGCTAGGCTCCAGAGTTTCAACCCAAGAATCCCTTGCGGAAATGAACATGTTATAACATGTTATTGCAAATGTTGAGTGAGCACATCCCTCATCCAAAATCCGTTCAACAGGTGCAACAAAATCAATGATTCAATGATCAGATTTGAGGAACTCTGACCCTGCCAAAGCCTAGCATCCTCGAGCCAAAAGTTACGGGACCAAAAAAGGCAGGTCTTTACAAAAGAAAGGGAGATAGCCACCGATTGTAAAATCACCATGCTTAATAGGTAAAATCATCAGACATCATCGAACTCAATGTGCCATTTCCCATAATGCCATGGCTATGTTAAATAACTCAAATTGAAATACAGCGCGTTTAAGTCGATATCTGTATAACTGTGTATATATGTATGTGTGGAGCTACCGATTCCATCTTTTTAGGCCTCTTTTTGAGGGCTATTGGCCAGACAAGATATTCCGATATTCCCATTGATCATATATATATACCCGTTCACACTTGTTCATACTTTTTCTACTTCAGCATGAAATTCTTCAAATTCTCAAAGTGAACCGATTTCTTCTGGGTCATTCGGACTAGATATCTCGATCATTCAGGGGAGGCAAGTTTTCGGGGCAACAAGCCCAGTACAAAATGGACTCATCGCTGAGATATAGTCATGGTCGCGGTGGTTGCTAACTCCAGATGATTGGCTCAACCCCCTCATCTATTTGTTGGTTGGGATCCTTTTGTTGTAGTAGATGTTCACTTTAGCTGTAGCTTGCCATATTCTCCAATATTCCTGAGCTGGTCGACCAAATATTGCATCAGTTACACCCCGTTGACATTTCGGACCCGATGTGCCCATTTTGATTAGGTCGTTCCCAAGCGGATTTGTCTGAAAATAGAGTGCCCCCAATTTTGATACTTGGTCATCATTTTCCCCACTAAAAATACTAAAATAGTTGATGTAAACTAACCATAACTTGGAGATTCATATGATCATATTAATCAATCCTGGTTGGTGTATAACCCAATTTATTGGGTAAACTAACCATAAAGTAATCATGATTTTCCAACACACCCAATTCTGCATTCTGTTCGCCCAAACGTTTGCGTTTTGGCATGGCTTCCCCTAAGCACCCGGACGGCCGGCCACGGGCTCCCCATCTTCGGCCATGAGGCATACGGCCTGGTCGGCCGATGTTTCTACGATTGGTTTTTGGGGAATTCTCTTAGAGAATTCGACATATAAAAAAAAATCGTTGATACATGTGGATACCCTCTGGTAATTTAACATAGCTATTGAAAATCGCCGTTTATAGTGAATTTTCCCATAAAAAATGGTGATTGTCCATAGTTATGTTAGTTTACCAGAGGGTACATGTTGATCCATCTTTCATAGCACAAAAAATTTGGGAGATCACTGGCATCTTCCAAGTTGCCGCGAAGACATCCACATAATCATCCAACCATGGCCCCGCTCCGGGGGAATACATGGATTGAGCCTCGGTGGTTTTATGGTCGTTTTTAATGGTGGTTTTATATGAATGGGATACGAATGTGAATAGCTTGGGATATTTATGGGGATTTTACCATTTATCATGGAATATAATGGGAATATAATGGGAATATAATGGGATATGTATATATTATGTGTATATATACATATATATATACAGCCATAGCCAATCTGATATGATGTATGGGTGCGTTTGAAAATGTAGCAGATCGGGACGACCATGACGATGAATCCCAGCAGATTTAGGGATTTCCAATTCCCAAACAAAACCCATTTATCTCCAGTTACCCTCTGGTAATTTAACGTAGCTATTGAAAATGGCCATAGAAATAGTGGATTTACCCATTGATAGCATGGTGATTTTCCAGTTCGCTATGTTAAATTACCAGAGGGTAGCAAACCTCACTAAAGACGGAAGAACAGTGAGACTTTCGAGAATAACTCCCCAAATCGGAGAAGATGTGTATAACCATGCGAAACATTGTGGAACTATTGAAACATGTAACATACCCTCTGGTAAACTAACATAGCTATGGAAGATGGCCCATAAAAATAGATGGTTTACCTATTAATAGCATGGTGATTTTCAATAGCTATGTTAGTCAATACCGGAGGGTATACCTTTCAGTACAAACATCCAACGAGTTGACCAAGAAATGCATCGCCGTTCTGGGCCTTGCAACCTCTGGTGGGGTCATGGTTGGACCCGGGACCCGCTGCTGCTAAGCAACAAAAGCTCCTCAACTCGGATCAGTACCCTCTGGTAAACTAACATAGCCATGGAAAATCACCATTTTTAATGGGAAAATCCACTATAAATAGCGATTTTCAATAGCTATGTAACAAATTACCAGAGGGTAAATGGTGTGCCAAATGTGCCAACAACAGGTCCCTGTGACTTGAGTCTTTTCATGTCTTTTCCACGTCAAACATGCCCGGGTGCCCCAAGGCCCCAACAAGCCGCTAGCCATAATAATGATATGGTTCCAAGGTTACCAGGTGCAGGCTTATGTATCTTATGTAAACATATGTAAACCTCAAAAGAATCGCAACAGTACGAATGGCTTCCTGCCTGTTGCACTGTTGGATTTGCCAATTTTGCAGGGTATGATGCCATCATCCCACCATCAACATGGCCCTCGTGGCAGTCCCTTCGGAATGTGTTCATTTTCCTAAAGTTCCCCGACTTGGATGAAAAGAAAAAAATCCGATGAAAGTCCCTCCTGGAAAAACGTAAAGTCAAAGGTCCGAAGGTCCAATACCCTCCGCAAAACCATGAAAAACCACAGGTTGATCCAATGCATTGCTCCGCTGCACCCCCCCCCTCCTCTATCTTGAAACTCCAAGGGCTCCATGTTCGGAAGGTCCGGAAGCCGCACTTTGGACCTGCGAAGGCCTTGGGTGCGGCTGCAATGATCAACAGCAGTGTTTAAGCCTCAAAACCTGACAGAAATTTCACAGGATTCAACCCCTGGATGAGGGAAATGTGTAACTCCCGAGGTAACTGCCACCAAGGTGACCCTCTTTGGGAATGAATGGCCACAACCATAGGTAACGGAAGGTGCCCAGTTTTCACTTCTTAGACTCACTTGTGCACTGATCTTTGTGGTGTCAACCCTTATTCTAGCCCTCTGAACCCCAACGTTTCTTGGCTTCATGCCAAACATTTCTAAACCCACATGATTCTTGATTTTGTCCCCATGCTAACTGGCTTATATATATATATATAATATTATATATAATGTATGTGTACATATGTGCGTCTATGTGTATGTATATGTATACCAGTAATATATACTGTATGTATATATACAGTATCAAGTTTCACTCTCCAAACCAAGCAGCAAAGGTCGGGCCAAGTGAAGACATAGGACCTCAGTGCTACTTGCCCTCCGGGGCCTCCGGCAACGCGAACATTGATGCAATGGATGGAGAAATGGAGAAAAATAATTGATGCGCCATGTCACTCGCAAATGTGCCAGTTTCCATCACCAATTACTTGACTACCAAATGGTATCCAAATGGTATCCTAGAAGCAAGTGGCTTCTGAGATATGCCAGCCACACGGGGGTCCAGCTGAAATATGTCCCATGGAGTTCATTGGTTTCTTCCCAAGTGCTGTTCGCGGCGCATATTGCCACTTGTTTGTAGGCTCTACCCTGCTACACTACTGATGACGAGACTCCGCAGTCCCCCTGGACCCTCATCCTGTCGTTTGGGTTTGTTGCCTGAATCCCAATTTCTAGCGGTGAATTTCCCGTTGCTCTTGGTCTAAAAAAATCTTGCCACCGTCATTGTCTTCTTTTGCTAGGTACCCCCATGTCATGTTCACCATGTCCTCTGAGTCGATTGGGCTTCTCTGAGATGCGTTTCCTCAAGCCGTCTTGTGTAGCTCATATCCCCAATGGACATGGAATTGGTTCCTTGCATAGTAGGGGATAGTTTTCCGTCTTTTTAGGATTTTAGGAAACCATTTAGATGTGTACCCTCTGGTGAACTAACATAGCAATGGAAAATCACCATTCTTAATGGGAAAATCCACTATAAATAGCCATTTTCCATTGCTATGTTAGTTCACCAGAGGGTATGCCCAAAAAACGCCCATGTTTCCGGCCGTGGTCCAGGGAGTCTACTGGTGGTCTGATCATCAACAAACCTACGCTGATATTCATGAAGCACGGTGCCCCAAACCACAATGTGATAGACAGAAGTTCTTATCCCATATCCTCTGGTAATTTAACATAGCTATGGAAAATCACCATTTTTAATGGGAAAACTCACTATAAATGGCAATTTTCAATAGCTATGTTAGTTTACCAGAGGGTATCCTCATTATTATCCCAACTATATCATGTTACATCCCCATGAAATCCAATATGTTGGGAACTAAACCCAACAGTTTCTTCTGTTCAAACCCACCCTCTCCATGATCTCAACCAAGGCACAAACATTCCACCCGCACAGGTTCTTGCAACGGCAAGGCGGGCTCACGCCAGCTGCAGGGATTTTGCGGCGCGCCTAAAAAAAAATCGGAGGTTTTCCAATGAAAATCAGACTGAAGAAACTGTGATTTTTTACCATGGGGTTAACCGGTTAACCATTAGATCTCTTTGAAATTCATGTTTTTACCATCCACATCTAGGGGTTAACCCTGTAAATCCCCCTACATACCCTCAGTAATATTACATGAGTAGTTTCGTAGCAAGTCACTCATCAGCTGAGCAACATGGGATGAAGATCACCTGCTTGCGCCCAGAATATCATCCCTCCACGCCCATTCTTGCAAAGCTTGTGTCGCCCCCTAAATCGATGTCCCCCGTATTACCACTATGGTCAAATTCCAGATACTGCCCCCCAAAAAAAAACTTAGCTGGAGATGTTTCAAAGTCCGCTTCAAGCTGAATCGATGTCGAGAAAGAAAGTACCGATAGTCCCACGGGGTGGAAGCCCCTGGTTATGTTTGTTGGTTAAAACACTCCATGCGCAATACTTGGTTCATTACCACAAACCCAACAGTTAACACACTGAACTGTTTACCAATTTAGCTAGGAAACTGGGGGAGGACCTTGTGTTAGAACATGTTTAGAATATTCCCCATTCTACCCCCATTAACCGTTGAATACCGTTAACCCCACAAATTGTCCCACTGAAATCACCAGTTTTGCATGATAAAACGCTTAAACCGCAATTTTTACGAGTTATATAAATGGTACAACCTTTTATCATTTCAAGTAGGCTACAACTGAGTTATGATCTCACTAAGCAAGTACAGCACCCGAGCCATCCAGTTCCAGTTACAACGAGTGGCTCCAGTCGATAAACATCAGCCGGACATCCTGTGGGCCCAGCACCACAGCAACGCGCTCGTAGTCGCTGTTGGATCTTCGGGTGATGGCATAGAAGAGGCACTCCACCTGCGATGGCCCTGTTGGCATCGAATATGGAGAGACCTCCAACGGATGGAGGGGGAAAAAAAAACGAACCATAAATGTGGAGATACTTGGGGATATCATGGGAATATGTAAACAGGATATGCCTCAAAGGGGTGTATCCAAGAACTTAAAGGTCATTAACAATGGCCATTTGGAGATTTCGCAAGTGGGGGATCCCCAGTCGTCACCATGGCTGTTTCACAGCCCATGCCCACTGCGGAGCCTCAATGTCTTCACCGTGGTCTACGGCATCGATGGCATCGCCTGTGTTTTGGCACCCTATGAATATCACTGGGAATTACCCTCTGGTAAACAGCCACATAACTATCGAAAATCGCCATGCTATCAATGGGTAAATCCACTATTTCTATGGGCCATTTTCAATAGCAAAGTGTTAGTTTACCAGAGGGTAACATCAATTCGGTTTCATCGCTGGAATCCACGAACGCGGCCATCCGAATGAATTCAGGGAGTCTGAGTGGTGAGACACCAGCTCCCCTCCAAAACAAAATGATGGGACTCGGCAACCAGGAATATTCGGGGATCCCCCATTTCAAACACGCCTATCATATCAGCTTGGCACGAAAAATCTCCAGGGGTCGATCCCAGTTTTCCCGTGAATCCCCCTGAAAAGGTTGAATGTGAACTGGTCCGTCAAAAAAAAACTGCTTGTTGGCTAAACCAATATATGTTGAACCTCCATTTTGGATCCTTTTGAATTTTCTATAGATGACTTACCTTTTGTTTCCATGGCCATTTTCGCAAACTGTAGTTTTCCATTACCAGAGAGTCAACCCAAGTGTTTCCTCCAAGTATGCTCTAAGTTTAGCCGCTCATTAACTGGATTGTTTTGAATTCTTAAATCATGTTAAAATCCTTAGCCCAAAAAAGTTTCTGATATATCGCCTGAGTATCCCCAACCATATCACATTTTGGATTCTTAACTCCCAAGCCGTGACTTGGGGGCCTGACATCTGGCACCTCTCGCGGCGACGCTTCCGACACTTCGAAGCAGCTGCTGCGCCTTGTGTGGATGCGTGGTTCACTCCTTGGGGTACCCGAAATGGCAATTGATGTTTGCTATTGAAAATGGCCATTTATAATGGATTTATCGAGCTTCAACATGGTGATGTTCCATATGTTAGTGTTGGTTTGCAAGAGGCTAAATGATAAGAAGCATGGAGGTGTGATGAAGACTAATTGATCACATCCGAAAAAACATTGGTTGACGGTGTCATTGTTACAACAATGTCATACGTCATGATGAATGATGATCAACAACAATATTCCTTAAAGGTAGGATGATTGGAACTGCTTGCAAGATCCTCCCACAAATCGCAACTGGCTAGTGGCCAAACCATACATAACCATAATTGCAACCCCTTTATACATAACCAATACATAACCCACGAATCGGGCACCTAAGAAACAGTACCCTACTCACGTGCTTTCGGTCTACCGATTCCTGAGCACCCAGCCGGTCACCAGCGGCTGCGGCGCAAGCCGCGCAAGCCGCAGCTTACGCCGCTGATCTTCCCACCTGAAATTACCAACAGCTTCCAGTGACCATTTGGGTTTCTTATACTGTACTATTGAGACCTATGTGAGTGGCACTTTGAGAATTGTGAGAATTTTGAGATATGAGATTATATGAGTCTTAGTCTTAGGTCATTTCTAATGAATTCCAATTATCTTCGCATCCAACCAGCGGCACCTCTGTTTCCAGCCAGCGGTACCGCCGACGTCAGTGTGAAGGCGACAGGTGGGATGGAGTCCACAAAGTCCATAACCATGGCGAAGCGCGGCAGAAATCTGCATCAATGGATTGGATTCGCATGGAAATCTACAGAAAACCATGTTTTTTTTACATGTTTTACATGTTTTTTACTCCCACCTCCCCAAAAAAAAAGTCGTGCAGATTTGTTTAGCCCAAATTTCCACTGAATCGTAAATCCAGGGGGCCTGAGACCAAGGAGTTTCCTGCAGATTGTCCCTTCAATTTCTGGGACTGCATGATGAGATGCTTTTTTCAAACTTGGCCTTGATTCGAGCATCAGCTTGGTTGGAAGATCAGCTGCAATATGCTGCAATTGTCGGGAGGTCGGATGTAATTAAACTGGTTAAATACATCATACTTGGGGATCAAAAGGCCATGCATCCCATCTCTAAAATGTCCTGCCAGCAGCACTTCCGGTCGACACGGTGCCTTCCAGCCACGAAAAGGGGACGATTTCTGCTGGAGGTGACCGTTGGGCACCCCCAAGTGGAAGTACAAAGTCTTGTAATTAACAACTAACATTGAGGTATCATTGAGGTATATTCAACTAATAACTAGATTGAAATTGTTCATTTTCACAAGACCATTGAGGTATACTATTGTGATTAACAACTAACAATTATGTGCTGAATACAACAAATATTCACCCACATTGCGGTGTGAGGATCCCACAGCACACACCTGAAAAATCGAGCACTGACCTCGTCGACTCCATTGCCCTTCTTTTGAACATCGCTGCAGAGATGAGTCTGTCGAGGTCAAGGCGATTTCTTCGGTCCCTGTGTACTGCTGAATGTTCTCTTGATTCTTCCCATGGTTTTGAAAGGGTAATCCAGGGTAATCCCAAATTTGGTCCAACATAAAATAACATCAACATCCCTTAAATTTGGTCCAAATTCTATTACTGTAATTCTCCCATGATGAAGACTAATACAAACACAGCGGTTTCGCCATGCTGACCTTCCCAGCTGTCATCGCTTTAATGGGCGTAACGCGCCAAGGTCGAACGGCTTCGAACTGTGCGCAGTGAAAAATGCTGGCGTCGAAGAGTGGGTGCCGCTTTGTGAAACACCGAAGTGGGGAGCCATGTTATAGATATTGGATGATATTAGTGATATCCCCAACTTGATTCGTCAATGTTCGTCAAGTATTTTCGAGTGGCAATCTTCAAATTCGACCATCCACTGTCGCTGCTATTTGATCTGCATGATCTACGAGCCAGGCTGCCTCTGGGGCGAAAATTGCGTGAAATCGGGGCTGAATCTGCTCACAGGGTGACATGGACGGAGGCGACTCCTCCAGAACCATCTCGAAGGCTGAAGCCCCACCCCTTCCGTTCTCGATGTGCGTTGCCCGTATGGAAATCAAAGTGAAACTGGCAACTTCAATCAACTTCAATCAACTTCAAATCACCAATCCATATTGTGCAGTGATATTCATTCCCGGCATAACCAGATTTGGACAGGGTGAAACTATCCAAATATAAAAATTCAGCCCAATAGGGAGAACCAAACCAAGTTCGAATCTAAATCGTCGCACCTCACCTCTGATTCAAAACCCTGGTGCCCACATGGATTTGAATCTATGATGTGCATATATATATATAGATATAGATATAGATATAGTGACGAAGTAGCTAAAAAAATGGTGTCACAACTGGGCTGCCCCGGCCCCTTTCTGGAAATTGTCAATTTTGATATGTTTTCTTTGGTTTTCGTTGTGCTAACTTCAATTCCCATCAATTCATCCCAGCTGCACAGTCTTTAATTCCTCCCATTTTTCCGGCGAAAATCCCTCAACATGAAGGAAAATGATTGAGTTCCCCCCTTCCACCCCCAACAAAAATCCATAAATTCTGCCATCAACCCATAGAAATATATAGAAATTCTGCATGAAAATCACCTCACCTTTTCCATTCCCCACCGGGACCCTCTGCTGACCTGCCTCAGACAATGGCCGAGCTGGCCGCCTTAGCTCCTTTGGCCTGGCCGGGCCTCAGATCGTCGCTGTAGAGGTCGTCGTCCTCGTCCTGCGGGGTCGACGAACATTGCTCAGGAGACCCACCAAATCCCACAAATAGATCCATTTTCATAGGGGAAAAGGATGATTCAACCGTTTGCATAGGGAAAAATATAGGGGGGAAAAAAACAAAATATATATATATATCCATGTTCATAGGCAAAAATGGGAAAAAGATGATTCAACCCATTGAAATTGAAGTTCATTGAGGGTAGCCGGGTAGCCGATTTTCGGACAAACCCATATCATGCTGATGATCAACGTGGCTTCAACGGGTGGAAATGTCATCCGAGTCCACCGGCGCCCCGGAAACCCCGGGGTCCGTGAGTTCTTCTTGGACCCGAGGATCTGCGGGGTTGGTGAAGCCATCGGGTGGCAGGGCGCCGGCACCGATGTAGGTCTTGTAGGTGCCCTCGGCGTCCTGGGCCAGCGCTTTTCCGGATGCAGGAGGGTTTTCAGTGTAAAACATCCCGCCGGGTTGGAAATGGGCCGAGTTAAAACAACATTTTCATGTGACTGGCAAGAAGTCAATCATGCGTTTCGCAGTGTTTTTTCATGTTTCTATGTTGTCCATGAAGGTCAATTCTATTGTGATTTTGAATTTTCATTGGGATTTACTGTATATAGTTGACATGTCGGAGTGCGAAAAAGGTTCCTTTTGGGAAGTCAGCGTGCCCAAAACCTCAGCGGCAGCCATTTTCGCTAAGTACGCACCTGTTTTCTCCAACAGCGCTTTTCCAACTACATTTGCCTCCCATCGCCACTGCCATGTGCGAACGTACGTCCAAATGAGGTCATTCAATTTTTGTTCGTTTTCTGGGCAAGATGTCAACTGATCGGGAACACTGGCAAGTACATTATTACCCCACCCCACCCCAAGGAACATATATAAAAATGCCTAAAACGCTCGGACGGTTTTCAACCCGTAGGCTAAAACATGGATGGTTGTCCTGACTGTCCTGTAGTTTGATGTGGGTTTCTCATGTTTTGTTGCGCAACAAACAAGTCTGGACGCCTGAATGTATGCATACATGGTTTTGTGTCCTGCTCATGGGCATTGCACACCTCCGATCGTCTGTGTCTTTGCAGTTTTCGGTGCAGATACATCTCCGATCTCCACAAATACATGGATAGAGTCAAAGAAAATGATCCCGTGGATGGATAAATCTCTACCATAATGGATAAATATACACATAATCTATACCATGTATAAATTGTCAAATTGATCCCAGGAAACTGCAAGATGACTATGGATCCAATGGATCCGTGATTTTGAGGTGCCTACTCCTCAACTTTGACAGTGCCCTGAACTCTTTGGATACACCATGATGTACCACACATTTCGCATAGTTTCTTGGGTGGTCATTCCAGGTTTCCATGTTCCAGTCCTATTCATTTCTATCTATTTCTGGCATCTAAGATCTACCCAAGTTAATTGATTTTAAATCGGGTTTTCATTGATATTCCATGATATTCCTAGCATTTCCTACCTCTCCCGCCAAGTTTGCCCCATTTTTGGGGGGAACCAACTCTCTGCAGATCTCCATCTTCGGTCCCTTCGGTCCTTGGCGGGCTTCAGGTTCAAGACCCAGGTGGCAGCCCAGGTCACTGCACCCAGGATCACGAAGATCCAAACTTGGAAGCTGATGCCGAAGAAGGTGTCGGACTGCCGGAGATCTGATGCATTTCATGCATCTGGATCTAAAAATTTGATCCAAGTCATGGAAGCCACAAAAAACTCCTTCAAAGATGTCTATCATCTGCATGTTGTATTTCTGTTCATTTCTATGCATGTAAATGTATGATGATTTTTGGTGAATGATGATGAAGTCTGTTGAAGCTATGACTAGGGTAGATAGCAAACACGAGCATTCCACGCAAATTAATCCGTTTTGTAGGGAAATAGGGATGCTAAACTGCCAAAAAGCTCTCTTAAACATCAGACTGGTGAATTGCACCTACCTGCACGGTCGAATTGGGCGTGTTTGGTTCTTGGTAAATATGCATTGTCTCTTTGCTTTGTCTCCCCATCTCTTCTCATCATTGAAAGTCCCTTGATGTTTTGGGCATTGAAAGGAACCGAGCGATTTGGGTATGTCTGAAAATGGGATAAACATGTATATATATATATACACACATATATATATATACATACATACATACATACATACATATAAATATATATATCTCTCTCTCTCTCTCTCTCTCTCCCCGAGGAGAAAGGGAAAAAAACACGTTTAATAAGGGAACCGAGCCCGATCAAAATTGCAATTAAACCTTCCTCTTCCCCAATTGTCAATGGATTTTGACTAACCAATGGATTGTAGGAACATCCCATTTTCAGACAAACGCAGTTACTACTTCTGTTGAACCTCCTCTCCGAGCTTTCCTTGTCGAGTGGCGCCCTCAGTGACGCCCCAGTTCCATATCCCCCATGGCATTTCAACACAAAAAATTGGTCAAATAGAGTGGTGATTTCGGCTCCTCCTGGATTTCCTGGATCTTGAGGTCTAAACGATGTCCTCCAGTGGCACATCTTCAAGTGGTGGGAGCTTGGCATAGGCAGCCTGACGGCTGAGGGTGCGCCAAGGGAGTTAGTTACAGTTAGTTCATGCAGATGAACCGATAGATGGATATTTGTCAATGAAATCAAGTCAAACCAAATCACTCAAGCCATCAGGTAAAATAGTATACATATACATATGCATATGCATAAACATATATGCAATTATATGCATATTTATACACATAATATATATATATATCTCAGGCATATGGTTTGATTTTCATTCTGCCTGCAATGGTGCGACCAAGGCAGCCAAGCCGGCGGCAGTGGCCACATCTGGGGTGAGGCGGACAATTTCTACAAGTGGTTCCAATTCAGAAATGAAGATTTGACCGGATCCAGAGTCGAAGTACTATTATACCAGAACTGTTATAACATGTTATAACCCCCAAAACAAAGAGAGCCCTCAAAGGGCAAAGAATGACCGACCAAGGAACGTTTTTTTTCGCCACGGGGATACGAACCCGAAATTCAAGGCCCCGGAGACCTGAAAAAACGCGGGTCTTAGGCAAATTTGGAGCGTCAACCCGCGACGCAACTGAATCATTGCAATCTTCTTGACTAGACCTTTGAAACGTTAGATGTAAACAGCATGTTGTTTAAAAATGGAAGATCACTGAAAATTTGAACGTAGCAAGTCGGAAATGCAATAAAGCAATGATTGTGGGCCAATACAAGAGTGAAATTTTCTCTGGAGCCATGCGAAACTCGCCAATCAAACTTGGTATATGAAAGCACTGGAACAATGAGAGCCACACAGACACTGATGCACATATATGTATACATATACAGTGCGCGCAACGTGTGTATGTATATATATATATATACATATGTACAGATATACATTATGTCATACACTGATATATAATGATATATATATATATGTGTGTGTGTGATGCTAGTATATAGACATGTATATATATATAATTATATATATATACATATACTGATATGTATCTCGAGTTTCTGGAGGTCTTGAATAGAAATTCCTCCACAAACACGTCAACTAACCAACAACTCCACCAGACACCCCGGCACCTCGCTTGGGCGGTGCCACGAAGCAGGGCGCCGCAAGCGTTGCCAGCAGAGTCACCGAAGCAGCGGCGAGGAGAGCAGGCAACAAATGAAGCTGGCGCCGGAACGGCCAAGGGGGATGAATGGAATAAGATTAACGACCATACCCAAAAGAAATGGGGGTCTGCCACATCAAGTATCATCAATCGGTTGGGTTGCAGGCAAGTACTGAAGACCATCATTTGCCAAATCATTTAGCAGTTCTATGGAGACTTCCTGCAAGATTCCTCTGAAACTTCAGGGATATCAACGTCGTCAACCCCAATGGTGGGGTATCCGCCAAGGAATGCTGTAAACACCTGCCGGAAACCCTTATTGAGCGTTTGATCTGGCCGTTCTTGATCTGATTTAGGAGGGTTCATTAGAGGCAACCTGCGCACGCTTCACTTCTCATCTAAGTATATCTTGTATCCCAAATGCCAGGTTGGGGCGGTGAATTTTAATCAATTTAGTTAGTACTGTCATATGGTGACTGTTGAAGGTCCAGCAACAATTGAAACCGCCAAGTGACATTGGAAGATCCAAGGGTTGGATGTCAACTTTTGAATGTTTAACCACTCTTTTGCCATTGGTTGCCAAATTGGGTGGTCTCTCTCTCTCTCTCTCTCTGCATGTTTTTCTCGAAGAGTTCACGTATCACGAGCTCATTTCATAAGAAAGCCAAGCGGCATTTCTCGGCATTGGTAGGGTGTTAGAACCCTTTTTTTTGCAGGTAAGACTCGCGTGTTTGATGGAGAAATCCCAATTTTTGCTGGGCAGATCCCCATATTTGCCTTTCTCAGCTGGGCCATGATGTCAACTTAGTGCGGGCACGTGCGGCACATGCGCACAGGTAGCAATTCTTCGTTGATGACTACCTTCCAAAAGAGTTTTGTATAATTGTTTCTTCACTTATGGCACCCACCAAAAAAAAGTACCATAACTACTGCAGAATCTACCAGGAGATCAAAGTCCTCTGTCTCAATAGACAGTAGTCCATTGGGTGGGTGCAAGGGGATTTCCTCTGAAATTCTTCCTTCAGCAAATCATGGAAGCTGGATGGTTTGTAACTGGGTTTGCTATGGTTTGCCCGCTTGAAATGACGAACACAAATAACTCCACAAATGACATCAAATGGCATCAAATGGCCATCTCCAGCAAGCAAATCATCGTCCAATTTTTGAGGCAACACCGCAATCAACACTCCAAAATCCTGGATTCGAAATCTCCATGAGCCGAATCCCTCTACTTCCGCAGCGGTCGAATGAGTCGAATAAGCCCAGGTACCAAGGAAGCGTGTTCCGAATGGCCGGAAAACTCTGTGAGCCCTCGTCTTCGGTCACAATTTGGGTGATGTCATTTGATGTCATTTGACGTCCCTCAGTCTCATCCCTCATTTCCATTCATTTCCTAAGTCGGCTCCAAAACGCTTGAAGCCTGTGGCAAACTCAATCGTATAGCATGTAGCCACATCGACCTATTGTATCATCATCTGCACCTACAACGGTCATTGGGCTCGACTTTTCATTGCGGGTCTGCTGTGATTGACCATGAAGATTCGAATGCTCGGCTCTGAGTCAGTTCACCCTAGCAGGCCCTAGCACCCTCTTGTTCACACCACAGCTGGCAGTTTTAGATGTTTCCCCCCGAATCCTCGTCCCATCGCAAAGGCAGAAACTGCCCCAAATTCGGCACCTTTTTTGGCCTCACCTCCGTCCCCTTCGGCAAGTGAAACAGGCGCTGCACTTCCATTTTTTTTGGCTTTGCCAGTACCTGCAGCTGAGAAAAAAACGATTTGGCGCCATAGATGTGGACGGTCATCTTGCAGTAAATGCTGTGGAATGTGTGTGGGATATATGTGGAATGTATTTATAATGTGTGTATATGTATATAATATTATATCTGTGTGTGTTTTTTCTCTCTCTCTCTGTGTTTATCCCTGAAATCACCTGAATGTCATGTCTTTTTTATTTCTCTGATACGCTCTTGCACATGGACTCCTTTTACATTCTATCCAGCTTAGTTCTATGGGGTGGTAACCACCCAACAAAAATGGGAGGGCTCCTCATTGACGGACAAATGGGATACACCAAAAAAAACAAGAACCTCGTGGTTGCGACCACCTTTCTTAACCTAGCACCATCATCCATTGTTTGTAGTTGCATGCCCATTGATGGCTAGATCCTTCTCTTCGCTTGCTAAATATATCTAAATATGCTAAATCCCAAAAAGTACCGGTCTTTTTGTGGTTACAAAAAGAGGGAAACCCATCGTTTCCCTACGAACATCTTCAAAAATGGTGGGTTTAGGGTTCCCTGCAGTCGACCTTCAGAAGCACATGCCCGCGCGATCGGGACAATGTCCGGGCACCCCTAGGCCACCTGGTGCCACGCAACAGAGATGTGAGTGACCCGACTGGGGGGAATTCACAGAAAAAAATGGCGGCAATCCATTCACCCTCTGCCTGATAGACTAGTGTAGACTAATTAGTAGTATTGAATGAATCTGTTCATTCTTGACAGGCTGACTTTGCCAAGAAACCAGTTGTGGGAAGCCATGTGCTGGGAACTTGTGAAATCCATAGCTAGGATCTCCCCGATTCTTGGCATCCCCCTCTTGTTTCCACATGTCACAAGCCGTAGGGCCACCTATAGGCCACAGCCCACATCGATTGCAAGGCCTCCTGGTTCTGCTTCTTCCTCTACGGCATGCCTCGGAGCGAGAATTTCTCGGAGAATGGATCAAAATCCCCGCAATCCGCCATGCTTCCAGCATCCAGTACCCTCTGGTAAACTAACATAGCTATGGAAAATCACCATTTTTAATGGGAAAATCCACTATTTCTATGGTCATTTTCAATAGCTATGTTAGTCATTACCAGAGGGTATGTTCCAGCCCCCTTGCCGGGACGGTGCCATGGATTGATGATGAGATCAAGCCCAGTTGCTGTGGAGCATGGTGCATCAACCAGGTATTCTTTATCTGGCCGGGCTTCGGTGGACATCACCAACCATTGTCTGTACCCAAAAAATTGAATCATCAAATCAGAATTTCACAAAGGAGGGCTGGTATCATGCAATTCTATCACCTTCCGTTTTCATGTGCTTTCCTTGCACTTGAAATATTTCAACCTGAAAATGGAATCAAATGATAGGTCACCGACTCAAAAACTCCCGATGCCCGGGGGGCCAAGTGCTAGTCACAGTTGGTTTCCTTTCGAACATACTCAAAAAAGACAAGAAACTGAAATTTAGAGATGATTTTAGCCCATTTTTGTTGCTCATCTTTCCATTTCAACGATGTTTTGCTGAACATTTCTGCCCCATTTTTCGGTGCCGTTGCCACATTCGGCCCACGGGCACCGCTTGTTTGGGAGTGTAGCGATGCTCCTCGGAGGTCATGAGCCTCGATTCCAAGAAAGCTGAAAATGGCCATAGAAATAGTTGATTTGCCTATTTAAAATGGTGATCTTCCATAGTAAAAAAATAGTTTACCAGAGGATATATGGTTATGGTTATGCCATGGTTCAGAATGGGTATATAGTTATACGGTAAGTTACAGTATACCCAACTGAATGGGTTTCAATGAACTGATCATTAGTGGTTCTGAAAGATTCTGAAAGGTTATAATGTTATCTTGTGACTGTGAGGGGTTATGATATGTTGCGATCATTGTTCAACAGTAGCCAGTTTCCTGCATCTTGCATTGAATCAATTCTCGAATGTTTCGGACTAATGCTCGG